TCTGCAACAGCCTTCCCACTCCTGCTCTCTTGCCGCCCCAACAATCAACTCCCAACCACCTCCATGGACAGCAGAAGGCACTTACTGCTGTTAGAGCTCTCTCTGGGCTCACAGATGGAGATGCTCCTTCATGCTCGACCTCTCCTTCTACTAATAACTGTCACATCCCCTCATCTAACTTTCTCAGCAAGAATCAAGCAGTGCAACCTGTATTAGTTGGGGATTCATCTTTAGTAGATCTAATTCAAGAGCGTCAAATGAAGCCCGAAGCCCGCATCAAGTATGAATGGCCAAGCTCAAAGGTGCATGATCAACTGAAATATAAGGCATCTGTTACTGATCCTCTAGAAGTGTCATCATCAGCTACATCATATTGCCTAGATGCTACCACAGTTCAGCAGAATTATTCGCTTCCGACATTTTGTTTGGACAGTGATGTTCAATCCCAACCTCGGAACACCTCGCCTTTTTCTGCTAATATTGACAATTTGGCACCTGATACATTGCTTTCGAGGGGTTTTGATTCTCAGAAGGATCTTCAAAACTTGCTTTCAACTTATGGTGGTACTCCAAGAGATATCGAGACCGAGTTATCCACTGCTGCAATCAGTTCACAGTCATTTGGGGTGCCAAGCATGCCTTTCAAGGCAGGCTGTTCAAACGATGTTGCAATCAATGACGCTGGGGTTTTGAATGGTGGAATGTGGTCTAATCAGACTCAGCGTATGAGGACATATACCAAGGTCTGTACCATGTACATTCTTTAGTTTTGGTGGAAACAACTTTCTATTAGAGCACCCGCACATACGAAGGAGAAGGCAAGCTAGTCAATCCATCTGAGAGAAAATATATATTTGGCATTATATCCTCCCGGACATCTTGATGTTGCATTGAAATTACATGTTACACCAACAAGATTAGATTCTACATGTATCTTTATGCATGCATAGGGGCACCTCCTAATAGTCTAATCCGGTGCGCTAACGTGCTTTCCTCGATATGCAAATGGCTAAAAAAACTAGTTCATCTCGTCAAACAAACTCCCCCACTCACCAAAAAAGAAAAGAAGAAGAATCCCTATGAGTGTTATTATAAATGTTCCACTCCCACTATAGTATCACGAGTGTTATGGGATGCTCTATCCTTAGATTATTTATTGAAGAGAGTTCCTGGCTTTCCTCTGTCAAGTCAGTTTAAATTATTTTCCCTCCTTTTCCCTCGTTACAAGTGGTATTTTGCAAGTCATACTTTCTTTCTGCATCACCTCTCTTGGTACTAAAAGTGGTTCAAATTCTTGTAGGTTCAAAAGCGTGGTTCCGTCGGGAGATCCATCGACATAACCCGTTATAGAGGTTATGACGAACTTAGGCGGGACTTGGCTCGCATGTTTGGAATTGAAGGACAGTTAGAAGACCCACATCGGACAGACTGGAAGCTAGTCTACATGGATCATGAAAATGACATACTGCTTGTTGGTGATGATCCTTGGGAGTAAGTGATATCCTCAAGTTTTTCCAGCTTTGCATTGAAGTGCTTTGTATTTTCTAAACCGTTAAAATTTCCTGTCTCTTGCAGGGAATTCGTAACATGTGTTCAGAGCATAAAGATTCTGTCATCTGTTGAAGTACAGCAAATGAGCTTGGATGGGGACTTGGGTCATGTACCCATCCCGAACCAAGCGTCTAGTGGAACCGACAGTGGAAACGCATGGAGAGGTCACTGCGACGATAACTCGGCTGCCTCATTTAACCGATAAGATTTGCCGCTGAAATATTGATTATTAGATAGTGCCAATGCTTTTGCCCTCGTGTTGGCAGAGGGAGATTGACCGCTTGCTAGAACTGTGACCAAAGAGAATCACGCGGTTACATTCAGGGCCAAGAAAGCTGTTTTCAGTTTCAAGCGGATGAGGAGCCATAATTTGGTGATCACTTCATTATCTCACATCATATATCGGCGTGAAATTGATCTTATAGCTAACCCAGAGTGGCTGTCTTTTTTATGACTTTCTTTTTGTGGATTGTAGAAGTAGATATGAAGATTCAGGCAATAGATGTGGCAAGAAGTTGTTCTTTGACACTTTGCGAAAAAGAGGAGTGAAAGTATATATACTTTGGAAAGCTGACCGTAGTTTCCCTCTGTAAATTGTATGGTGATCTTAACAGGACCATATGGGATCTGCAGCTGGCACCCTCTTGCCAGCTAAAACAAGTTAATATGGCGCCATCTCGACTTAGACTTGAAGTTGATGTTCAATCAAGGTCAGGTTCACTATTGTCCTAATGTAGGATTGATCTGGACTCACCAAACTGCATTCATTCCTTCTTTCCGGTCATTTGGAAAGGTTTTTAATATGCATTTTATTCAGCGAAATATCAAAATTAAAACATAGACATTTCCACATGAGCAATATTGGGTTTAAAGACTAATTTACCGAATTGATATACTAAACGACGCGGCATTGTCAACGGACATTTAAGTAAGTGGGTTATATCCATCGTCCGATAATATTCAGTCAAAAGATCTAGGCTAAAAACAGATCTTGCCATGCCCATAACTGTTGTTCAGTAGGTCCTCCTATAACCCAGGATAGCCTAGTGCACGAGTGCCGTCCAGATCGTTCTTGTCCGCGGACGGTAAGGGAGGAGATGTCTCACCGTCCCTGCCTCTTGCAAAAAAAGCTACTATTGACCAACGCAGTCCCTCATTTCTGCAGACTGTCTAATGTGAGAACACATTCCCAAACAAAAAAATGAAACTCTAGTTGGTACCCGAATGGCTCTCCGTGGAAAAGCTTCCATTCCACCAACAATCTTTTCAAATAAACTATAATAAGACTCTAGAGAACAAAATCCATCTCTGCCACTACTCCTAGAGAGAGTATCACAGTAGAGAGGGAACTCTTGGAGTCACACAGCAAAACAAAAAGCTGCGACAGATTCAAGTTCAGAATCTTGGGGTTGTCTCATAAAGTCGATCTCCCAAGTGATTCCCCCTTCGGAGATGCGATAACAATCCAACAGAAGAGCCTCTTTTTTCCCGGCGACGTCAAAGAGGTCAGGCAAACAATCGTTGTATGACATTTTCCTGCACTGAGGGTCAAGCGAAAAGAGTATCTGCTTACCATTTCGCACAATAGATTTCGTCCGATTGAAAAACTCATCCCACTTGGCTCTCACCCGCCTCCAAACACGGCACCCGTGAGCTATTCTTCTACTTTTGGAAATCCAATCAGTTCTTCCAAGGCCAAATTTAGCAACCACCACTTTCCTCCAAAGATGTTGCTTTTCATTAGTGAAACGCCACAATTATTTGCCAAGAAGAGCCTTGTTAAGCAAGAAAAGAGATTTGATGCCAAGACCGCCGTTATAAGAAGGTTGCTGAACTGCTTTCCTATTAATCAGATGAAATTTATGTGACTCATCGTAATCCCCCCACGAAAATCTATTTTGTATAGCTTCCAGCCTTAGCATTTGTTGAACTAATCGAAAACCTCTGGGAAAAGAATCTGCCGTTAGGACTAGCTCGAAACAGTTGCGGTCTGTTACTCAACCTCCAGGAATGCTCCCTGTACGCAAGGAGGAGGGCGAAAAACTTCCAACCCAGCAAAAGGAAGCTTCTCCTCGTTATTACCACCCTATACAACCTCAAAAGAGACTTCGAACAAACTTCCCGTCTGAGAAACACCCGCAACCTGGACATTTTCCAACCAGCTGCAGAGGAGAGTCTCTCGTTGCTGATAGACAAGGATTCCCAGAGCCAGAGTCACTCCCGGACTTGGACAAACCTCCAAGAGCCAAGGACTTACCCAAAGCATAATGCAACTAAACACCTTCCACCAAACTCTTGCTTCAGTCCCCCAGGAAAAAAAGATAAACAGAGAACCCCCTCTATTAATCTCCATTACAACAAGAAATCTCCACAATCTATTTCATTAAAGGGAAAGCATGAGAGTTCGATCGTTGCTCCTATGCCCTCGGAACTAGGGAGACTTTTTTTTAGACCGTCAGAAAAGCTTCAGGGAGTTCTTAAACCAGAGGAAGCTGTCTTTGCCAGGGAAGATAGAGATGCGTCGACGACCGGTTGTCTCAGTTACCCACAACAAGTGTCCGACTCTCCTTCAAAAACCAGACCGAACACTTTCCTCTCAACAGCCACAGACAAGAACTCCTAAGCAAGCCATCCAAAGGAAAAAAAAGAAGATGATGAAAACTGGACGAGAGGAGCAAAGCAATCACCGGTGAGATGACAGGGAGAGAAAACAGAGAATAAAAAAACAGAGAAAGAAAGAGTCAGGACAAAGAGGAAGAAAGCTGGCAAGGTCCGGCAAAGGTCGCTGACCACCACATAGAGGTTGCCGGACAACAGAGGAGGTGACTTGTGCGTGGGTCAGCAAGAAACGAAGGAGAGAGAAGAACTAGAAGGAACAAGAGATGAAAAAGAAGAAGAGAAAAGGAAGAGGAGACGGAGGATCCCAAAGAATGCTGCACCGGAGAGGAGATGGCCGGCGATGGTTAGGACGGGCTAGTAGTCCCCAGCAGAGGCAAAACCATGGAGAATTCTAGCAGAGCTTTCTGATGTCATAATTTATTTCTATAATATTCTACCATACTATATGCCATGGTATATCCAAATTCTTGACTCCTCTCGATAGATTTAGCATTTCTATTTCAACATAGCAACAAGTGTTTCGGATTTTCATCCAAATCGAGCTGATCTCGAGGAATTGCAAAATGTTAAGCTACTTAAAGCTTGCCAGTTGCTTCAATTCTATCATGAGGGTGCTGAAGCTCACGGGTTCTAGAGGAAGGAGGTCCGATTACATCACAGGCAATTTGATTTATAACTTGAATAGATAGCTGTTAAAAGTTGCCAGATATGGTCTAGAAGCAAAAGCTATAAAAAGATTTATCACACGGGCTATTCATCTTCACCCAAGACTAACTGTAATAACTCGATTCACTTCGCCAAAGAAAAGTTATAACAAGATACCCCACAGATAATTGCAATGCTGCAAAACCATCTTCAAAATTATATTTCACTTTCGTTGAAATCAAAATTGAAACCTGAACCCGTTTCGCCGCAAAAGTTCTCAGTTACATTTATGGCACAATTAGAAACTAGACCTGAACAGAAAATTACTAGGAGAGCACTGCCATTACATCAGAAGCCCTCAAGACAATGTAATCCGAACCATCACTACCCTTGAAGTCATTGCCTGCGTACTTGGAGTACATCACTGTGTTTCCTGCAGAGACTGAGAGCGGTTTCCTGTTCCCTTCGTCATCAAGAGGACCAGGTCCGACAGCAATCGCCTGTCCGATCGTAAGTGGCACATGTAAAATTAGCAAACAATAACCAACAGAAAAGCATTGCTATTGGTAATAGGTCATTGGCATCATACACTGCACTGCATGCAAGCAGCAATAGGCAAATTGCTAGTCATGTGATGTGGGACTAAAGGGACACATGGGACATACCGTTCCAATAGAAGGTTTTTCCTTGCTAGCTTCAGTCAGTAGAAGGCCTCCGGCAGTCTTTACCTCAGCCTCGGCAACCTTCATGAAATGATAAGACATTATAGAAGACATCATTTTAATCCTAACAAGCAACAAAAATATGTGCTACGTGAATAAAAACCAATTAAGTGTTTATTATAAGCACTCAGAATTTTCTTTTCCCCATTACCCAAGCACAATATATGCCGATTTGGAATTTATACTTTTACCAGATAGAATTGATGATACATGGCAATCAATTTACAATTTAAGGTGGTAATTGCTACTGAGCATTTACACATGGTCATGTGACAAACCTTAATTAGGATTCTCTCATTCAGGGGCTTCAGGTCCTTTACATCATCAGTCTCTAAGATACCGAGAATGTCATCCTCCTTCAAAATAAGATGATTCGAACCACTGAATTCCAACTCGGTCCCTGCGTACTTGGAATAGACAACCTGGCTGCCAGTCTGCATACATAACACAACAAATCCAGACTAGGCTCAGATAGCGTTGCCACGAATTCTTTTTATCTTTCTTAGCACGATGTTAATGTTTAACTAAGTAATAACAGCATAGTACTATTGGCTCAGTATTTGAATCGCATAATTACCTTCACACTGATTTCAATTTGTGACTTTCCAATTGTCCTACCCTCACCAACCGCGACCACTTCTCCTCCTTGAGGCTTTGTTTGAGCTGTTGTTGGAAGCAGTATACCACCCTGTGTCTTCTCCTCAGCAGTCTTGATCTTGATCAGCACTCTGTCACCCAGGGGCTTAAGAGAAGTGTACTGAATTATCACAGTATGGGGTCAGTCAAGAACGGTTAAATGCATATACCAAAGTCGAGAGAATAATGCAGCAACCTACTCCATAGAAGCAGCATCCAATTATACAACACAACTGACCCCATAATCCAAGAACCACCAACCAGCACTTGCCACTACTTTCCCCACTCGTTAGGTCTCTCGTTTAGTTCTCCTAAGCCAAGCTAAACAATAACAGCATGAGATACTCTCCGCAAATAGCACGACTCACTTCACAGCCAATTCAACAGTCAAAACTCTGTAAATTCCTACCTGGGGCAGTCACGAAAATATCACTCTTAACAACACATCAGTATCTGCTTCTACCCAGATGAAACCAAAAACCCGTGTACTCTCTTGGAGAGCAAAAGTACTGGAAATCATTGCGATTTGAACTAATCACATCAGACGACCAATAAGCCACCCCAACTAACAGCAACATCCTCTACTTCATCATCATCAAGATACAGGCCATTCAAACAATAAGCAATGGAACATACAAACAGGGAGAACAAAAAGACAAGAAACCACCTTAGGAGCAACCACGGTGGCAGCTCTCACGACGAGCCCCCTGAAGGACCTCTGCGCCAAGGACCCAGCTTTGAAAGGACCCACGGAAGCAAACTTCGCCGCGGACGGCCTCAGCCCTTCAAAGGAAGGGACCAGCCTAGCAGAGAACGCGGGTGCAGTGAGCTGACCGCTCGCCATTTCTCTCTGCCCCAAATTTCAAGAACTCGCAACAAGTCAGTCGCTTTTTCAAGATTTAATCAAAGAGAGAGCTCCATCTGAGCTTGCAAGAAGGACAAAAAAAGATTGCAACTTTCAGATTCAAGTACCTTGTAAGAATTGAGGGTTGGCGTGGGACTCCGGAGATAAGAAGAAGATGGGGTGGTGGATTGTTCAGAGTAGGTGATGATGGATGGAAGCTTGAAGATAAAAACCCTAGTAGTGTGTACTGGGGTTGGCGATGAGAGGTTTTATTATAAAGTTTGATAAGGGAGACTTCTAGAATTTTCGCCAGCGTTTTAGAAGAGTGCACGCGCCCCACGCCCCCTTCCTAACAGCACTGAGCAGGGCAGATCGATCGAACCGGAGACCATCCGGACCGGATCAAACCGAACTGGCCGGTTGGTCCCGTTCTCAAGAGTGACGGTCCGGTTCTCGATTCCTGAAAGTGAAATCGGGGTCCAGGCGGGTTATCAGACCGACTATGTATATATAAATTTATTTAATTCCTTCAAAAAATTAAATAAAGTAAAGTAAAACCCTAAGTGAACTTTAGTCCTCCTATCCCAAAACTTTCCAAAGGTTACACCATCTTCAATAGTGACACAAACAAATTTAACTCATCTCGGAGCTATTCTCCACTAGAGACTTTCGGACTGATTTCAAAGACGAAAAGGTACATATCTAGCCGCAGAACGAAACTTGATGTGAATACAAATTACAATAAGTGACCGGTTTCATTGGACCAGACTAGGGTGGTCTAGTTCCTGATTCATGGGTGGAACCGGACCGGACTGAAAATCGATCACCCTTACTTCCTATGAGGCCAATTTGTTTCGCGGAAAATATTTCTTAAAAAATAATTGTTTATAACGATTATGGAAATAAATAAACAAAAAAATATTTTCATCGTCCACGAAAATATTTAGACACAAATTATTGTTGGTATTGAAAATATTTTTTCATTGGCTAATTATTTCAAGCAATACAAATTATCAATTTTAAGAAAATATTTTCTAAATCGTTCATTTTTTACAAAATAAACAGAGCTTGCAATTGCACTTTCCAATCCATTTATTTGCTAAAATCACTCCTATGTAGATAGTTGAGCAATGTACCTTTCAAATTAAAAATCCAACCTTCTTCTTGTTCTCCCCATGTCTTCTTGTGGCGGGATCTCACTCTCCCTCTTCCATATTTCTTTTTTGGTTGAGTCCCTCCTTGATTAAGGTCATGCTTTTGCTGCAACTTGAATTGTTCTTTGTTTTTTTTTTTTTCTCGACCAAGATGAGCAAAGAGGTGCATAAGAGAACTTCGTTGATTTTACCTTCTCCCAAAACAATTATTAGACTCTCTTAATGCCTCGATACATCAAATGGGACTTGCTCTTGCCCCTACCCCATGCGGAGCCCACTACCGCACGCCACCGCCATCCCTTAGCTTTCACACGCCGTCACCATTGTATGCGTCCCTCTTCAGTCACTCGTCTCTGCTATCACAGCGCGATCATCCCTCTTCTTCTTCAAATCTGATTTGCTGCGTCTGCGTATCTCTCTCTCGCATTGTTGCCTTGGCCCTCGACCGCCGCTCCTCCCTGCCTCTAGTTCAAAGCTCGTGCCACCACAACAAAGACATGAGAGAGAAAAGGGGGCATGCAAGGACATGAGTTAGAAAAGAGAAAAGTGAAGAGCGGCGGCAATTGTGAGGACTTCAGGCGGTGGCAAGTGATGGTTTCATCAAAGGTGGCATCAATAGCAAGTGACATTTTTTTTCTTTTGCACCTATTTGCTCATTTCGGTTGACCAAAAAAAAAAAAATACTTCGAGTTGCAGCAAAAGCATCAACTTGAAAAAGAGAAAGTGAAATCCTGCCACGAGGAGATAGAGGGAGAATAGTTCAAACGTTAAACTTTTATGTTAAAGGATATATAGTCAGCAATTTAGAAAAGGAGTGAATCCAGTAATAAATTAGGTGAAAATAACGGCTACCTATTAGTAGTGATGTATACATATTTGTTATGCGACATGCTAGCAGAACATTACGGAATGATCTTGTCAAGTGGCAGCAATTCTAATTGTGAATATAGACATACAAAAATAGTTTTGCACATATTAAACACGACGCATATAAATGTGTTGCATTCTTTAATATTCAATCTTGACAGAGTTTTAAATGAAAAATGTTGAAGAGTGCAACTTGTGCACTTGTTTAATCTTATTAAATATGCTTTGAAAATTTAAAATCTACTATTTGAGGCCAGCATCTTTATTAAAATATGTAATTTTTTCTATTTGATAAGCATCTTGAAAAGTGTCATTTCCATCTTTAGTAAAGTTAATTAGTGCTCTAAGGGCACTTATTAACAAATCCCATAATGAATATGGAAAAACTTGAAGATATTTTGGGTGACTTTAATTACTAAAATCACGAGTTAATTTTTTCGACATGGAAAGGGGGAAAAATAATTAAAATCACACATCCAGCTTTGGATTACAAAGCCCAAAATCAAAAGTCAAAAATAAAATCCAACCAAAAGCCCAAAAGGCCAACAAGAGGATTAGTAACTTAGTACTGACAAGTATGGGCCTCATGATCCGACAATAAGCCAAAAATCAAAAGTCAACTGAGAAACGTTGATGTAAAAGCCTTGCATGATGTTTTGGATCAGGCCCATAATATGCACTTAGGACAAAATATATAAAACATAAGGAAGGCAAAAAACTATATTTTGAAATAATTATAAAAATATTCGACCAAAAAAAATGATAATTATACAAAGAAAATGTGAAATTTCTCAGCAGCCAAAACAATATCTTGATTAATAAAATTAACCCAAAACAATAGTTCCCTCTTTGGTGCTCTCTCTTCCGAAAAGGATGTCGTAATAATTTTCTTTTCATGTTGTATATCCCGGAAAAAAGTGACATTACTCGTTTTAAATGGGCTAGCTTTAAAAATTTCCAAAAGATTGTATGTGTTAATTAAAGACGATAATTGCCACCGGAATGGTCGAGTTTCGAGCATACGTGATCTAAAAGGTTTTCCAATGTTCAACAATTCAGATAGATACCGATTAAATAGATGCTACGTGGTCGCGACCGTAACAATTAAGTTTGGAGTATACGTGATCCAAAAGGGTCTTCCATGATCGACAATTTGTATATATGCCGATTAAATAAATGCTACATGGTTTCACACATACTCGAAATGTAATCATTACGAATGGCGTCGAACTTATAGATCTTTCGTGGCATGCGGCGCTATAGTAATTCGCGCATTCAACCCGCTTCTCTTGGCGACGGGCAATTGCTCCCTTGAACTTAGTAAAACTACAACATTGGTATTATCCAATAGGACCTCAACTTAAACCTGGTCAATTAGAAATCCTCACATGCTTAGTAATTTGGCAAATTTAAAAATAATATCCGCATATCAAATTTGCATATATGTCGCTGTTTCATTTGGTACAGAAGATGGGGACCCTCAAGAAAATAAAAGAACAAAAGTTTGGAGTATTCATTACGAGCATTAGACGGAGATCATGGATGACGTCGCCTGGATGTTGACGTTTTGGCAATAGGAACTTTGACTTGGATGGAGTTTGAGTAGCGAGTTGGACTCGGACGAAACAGTGTGTGGTTTTGCTGATGAAGGAGGTGACGATGTTTTTTTTTGGAACTTATGATTTCTTGGGTTGACTCGGAATTTGCCTTTTGCGCGCGTGTGCTTATCAGTTTGCCTTTTCATCGTCGGCCGACCTGAACCAGCATTGACTGATCAGTGAGAAAGAACTAGCAATGACCTTGGAACCGGTCCGACCGTTTAAGGAACGGATTTGTGCCTATTCCCGTCATCTCCTTTTTTTTTTGTTTTTAATTAGTCCAATAGAAATAGCGACATTAATGTTGCAAGACTTTAGGATGGCAAAGGCTTCGGGCAAAAACGTGGCTGTAAATTTTGCGGGACAAATTTCGACATATGTTCTATATCCGGGGGCTAGTCAGTCGTTGCATAGCAATCATCGATTTCCGAAGAGAAAAGCACCGAGGCCGATAGAGAAATTGAAAATCAAACAATCTCGATCGCTTCCGGAGAAACAAAAAATATTTACTTTAATAGTAATTACGATATTTGCGTCTTTCCGACTAAGCTCAAAGGAGCGATTCATGGTAACAATGGACGACGTCCAGTTCATGGTGATGATTGCGACGGGAGACATTATCAGGTGTATCGGATGCGTGTGAGTTCAGTATATTTCAATATTTTAATCATGTGAGTTTCTGACTGCGACGTGAGACATTATCAGGTGTATCGGATGCGTGTGAGTTCAGTATATTTCAATATTTTAATCATGTGAGTTTCTGACTGCGACGGGAGACATTATCAGGTGTATCGGATGCGTGTGAGTTCAGTATATTTTAATATTTTAATCATGTGAGTTTCTGACGAGACTTTTGTTGACGCATGCAATGATGTAATTTTTTTTTTTGTCCCAACCAAAGTTGGGTTTGACAGAAAACTCGATGCTGATGAGTATGGTGACGCAGCCCTTTTTTTTTAACTTTGAAGAAGACTTACCACTCCCTTGTTTCCAGGAAGCCAGCAATTCCAGGGCTTCAAGACCTTTCCTGGGTTTTCGGTTGACTAAAAAATGGCTGGCTTACCATCTTTGCCCTGTGTTTATCACACTTACTTACTTACTAATATAACAGAAAAGTCATGTTTTGTTGCCTGGTCCCAGCCCAAGCTGAAGCTGGCCTACCATCTTCTCCTAATCGTAATCTTAATCTCGGATTAGGACAAAGATTTCAAGATTTGGTACCTCATTTGGCAATTATCTCGATACTTGAACCAAATTTGCCCCCGTCGTCACCCAAAGAACCTTATGAATATTCCACTTTAGAAGAATATGTATTAGGAGAATGTATCTCAGTGATAGTATAGAACAAAAAAAAAGAATTTATTATAGTAATTTTACGAATTTGCCAAGACCATCGATTCCGTCTTATATTAAGAGAAAACACATTTATTCAAAGTTTATAATAGGGAAAGATTATCTGACAAACAAAATAGGGAAAAATCCGATATTTTTCCCAAAATATGTACGTCAAGCTGGGCATGGAACCCATGTATCAGAAGCCGCCGCGATACAATCGAGCATACATGATTTGGGTCAAGTATCCCCCTGCCAAACACTTGCCGATTTTTGGGAGAATGTCTCGGGTTGGCTCGAGTAATGTTCCTACTATTTGGAGTTCTCGGTCAAAAAAGAAAGAAAGACTCGAGAGGCATAGCGCACGCGGAAGCTTAGGACTCTATTTACGGAAAAAAAAAAACGGGTCGAGTTTATTTACTTATTTTCCATCGAAAGAAACTCCGCAAAGTCACGTGACTCCGACATCGCAATAACTCACAAATTACTATTATAATGCCTCCGAAGCCGATACTTTATAAGGCCGCTTTTTTTTGGTCAGAAATTATAAGGCCGCTTTAAACCGAACATTTCAGCGGCGAGCGCAACATGTCCCAACCCTTGATTTGTTGGGTTTGAGACTTGGGTTTTCGCATCGTCGCGTCACGAGCACGGCCTCACTCCCCAAGCAAAGATCAACCGCGTAAATTGAACAAAACCAGATACACTTTGCTGATGTCATCCCTCACGTGGCACTGTTGCCCCTTTTTCGTCCACTTTGAAGTTCTAGCAGCAGAACAGGGGAAAACGCGCACGTTTGACCCTGCCCCCCCACGCACACTGCACTGGACACGGCTCACTCTCTCTCCTCGTCTGTCTGCAGGAAGACCTATTTATAAAGAGCCGCAAAATGCTTCCTTGTCTCAAGCATCCGAGCCTCAACACCAGCAACGAGAAAATCATCAGCAACACACGCCCAAAAAACATTCTCCAGAATCGATTCGCAAGCTCAGCAAGTCGACCCAGATCGTCAAAATCGAATCTTGACCCGAGGAAGGAAGAAGAAATGGTGAAGCGCAGCGCAGCGGCAGCGGGTCTCGCGGTGCGCGGGGGCTCGGGGGCGAGGAGCGACCCGAAGTTGAAGGGGGTGAGGCAGAGGAAGTGGGGCATGTGGGTCTCCGAGATCCGCTTCCCCAACAGTCGCCAGAGGATCTGGCTCGGCTCCTACGACTCACCCGTGAAGGCCGCCCGCGCCTTCGACGCCGCGCTCTTCTGCCTCCGCGGCCCCACCGCAAAGTTCAACTTCCCCGACAACCCCCCGGAGATCCCCGGCGGCCGGTCCCTCACGCCCCCGGAGATCAAGGCGGCCGCGGAGAGGTACGCCGAGTCGGGCGCCGTGCCGGCCCGGCCCGAGCTGTCCGGATCCGAATCGCCGGCCCCGCTGCCTTCGCCGTCGGTTTCGGAGGCGAGCAGCGTCTTGACGGGCGAGAGCGACCTGTACTTGGACGTATCGTTCTTGGATCTTTTGGCGGATCCGGAGCCGGGTTCCGGCGAGCCCGATATCAGGGCGTTCCCGGGCATCGAGGAGTTTCCCAGCGATTTCAACGGGATGCAATTCGCAAGCGCGGGGAGTATGGAACTGAATCTTGACGTGTTCTTGGCTCCGGATGATTTCCTATGGGGTTTCTGAAGTGGACTGAAGGAAGAAGCCTTGATAGATGAAGACAGCGGGACTATTTTATTTTGCCATAAGATTTTCCTTTCCTTTTCTTTTCCTCTTATTCTTTGGATGGACCAGATTTTGTAAGGTCATCATCCACTTAGGATGATACAGACAACAAAAACTGACTTTTAGGGTGTAAATAGACGTAGCTTTTGTTGTTCGGCTCGTTCCTTCAATGGATCACAATTGAAAGCGGAAAGATGATATTAATTTTGTTGGTAAAGTGTGCGGACTGCGAAGTTATTACAATTATTTCAGCTGTGTAAACCATATTGAGGCTTGAAACAGCAAATCAAAAACCGTGCGGATAAGCATAGAATCGAAAGTGACGTTCGATTCGTAACGAGCAAGTTCGATTATCCGAGGAAAGTTTCTCGCCTTCTCCTTTCAGTCATGAACAACCAAGGAAAGTCTAGTCGCGTGATAATCAAGACTGGGCAAGGAACGTCGGTATGCCGCTTGCTACTCGCAAGGGATGGTGACCACAAATCGCGTATGCGTACTTTTCTCATTTTGGCTTGGTTTTATCATGAGATTTACATGCAAATCTACAAGCCTGATGCAGGCTCGAGGGGAATCGCTTGACTGTAAGCTGTCGCCTTGCTCGATGATCTTTTTCTCCGGAAAATATGAAAACCTAGTTGTCCTCTTGTTGTGATTATTGTGTAGATTGACTCTAAAACAACAGTGGAAGAATGAGATCCAACAGTCTGGAATCAAGTCAAAGTATTTGCCTCATGTCAAGGTTCGCAATGTCAATTGACATATTGACATATGAAACTGTCTCACAGATACTCTGTACTTAACATTGGCAGACGAGTAGATTGATGAACAGAAAATATTTCAAAACTCAAAAGCTCACGCTGAAGTTACTCTTGATTCAATTCAATATGATTATTGCCGAACTTGATAACACTTTGTGCAGATGCATGATGAATCATACATTTATAATGTGTTCACTACATAATTATTTGTGCTCGCTGTTCCCATTGTGAACGGCCTGAAACTTGACTCGGAGAGGATTGCCACTCATTTCTCAAACATAATCAGTGTTTTTCCTACCATTTCCTATGGATGATCTTGGGACAAATACATGATGAAGAAAAAATGAACAAGCTATGACCAAATAGACAGAACCGACCACAAGGTGTATTGCAAATAAAAATGACCACAATCCTTGCATTGGATTGTCGCAGTTTGTCAAGCATTTGTTAGATGTGTATTGACCATGGTAAACGCACACGCTGGTGCGTGCTTTGGCATGATAGGACGGAAGGCTAGAAGGACCTCAATGCTCTAACCGGTGATCGACGCCTTTGCCCATGCTCTCAATTCCACCAGCACCGAGGCCTCGTTTGGTTTGGCTTTGAGGAAATATCCTTGGGGAAATGCAAAGACTTTTGGGTCAAAAGGAATTTTTGAAATGCAAATAGTATTTGGTAAAATATATTTTAAAAACACATTGGGAAGCAATTTAGGATAAATGCTGTTTGGTAAAAACTACACTTTGTAAGGGACTTTGGCTAATTTTTTTTAAAAAAGAATCTCAAACTATTTTCCTGTGGAATTCAGCTGCAGGCAAGCCAAATTTGCCGCTGGCCAGTCTCGCCTAAGGTCAGGCAAGAGTGGCAGTGGCTCTACAGTGGCTCACTGGCTGCTTGCCGGTAGCTGAGGCCTTCTTTGGCAAATTAGGGTTTTCAAGGACATTTCCCAAATTATGAAAGTTGAGCGATGCCAAAGTTGGAAGGAAAAAAAGTTTATTTGCATTCCATGAATGCAACTTTTCAAAGCACCTCAAAACTTATCTTGGGCCAAAGTCCTTTGTAAATGCAATTGCATTTCCCTAAATTTTTCCAAAAAATGAACCATGAGTCTTTTCCTATAGGAGGCCCGAAATGGTTTAAACTGACAGCAACCTCACGAGTCGATGATAGTCTTCCCCGGTAATTTACATGCAAAAGTATGATTTGTATAGAAGAATTAGGCATTTTTGGTAAGAAGAAATGGGCCTTAATGAGGTAAATTGCGGTGCGTGTGGCACTAAAGATGAACGAACGTTATAATGTCGTGATTGCCATCGTTCCAAAGACCAGAACTCCCTCTGAGTTTGATATTCTCCTAACGCAAGATTCGGAATAAAGCAGCTTCTTGTCCTGGCCATTGAATCCAATCTTCATGAGCGGACGTTTTTTACAAATGATTGCAAGTCTGGGAACAATTCTGAAGTGACCAAAGCTCAACTGCTGATCCTGATTCTAATCAGTTTCATCTGTTCTTACCTTATAAAACCATGGTTTTGCCGACAAATCCCCCGCAGCATATAAATGAGAGATGTGAACCGAGACTCCCTCAAAGTAGGAGACAAATCATAGTTGCGCCAAGACTCAGCCACTTATAAGGGAAGTAGTTATTCATCTATCATGAAATGGGTGGACGACTGAACTGCCAAAATTTGCTGTGAGGAAGTGTCGCTCTTGAACAAATTCTAGAGGAAATCGTTAGCAAGAAAACTTTCCTTTTACCTGCCCATTCCCGTCATACCCTGTTTGTTGTTAATTAGTCCAATAGCAATAGCGACAGTAATGTCGCAAGGCTTTAGGACGGCGAGGGCTTCGGGAAACAACGTGGATGTAAAATTCGCAGGACAAGTTTTAACGTATATTCTATACTCAGCACCGGGGGATAATGACACAAACAGTCCCTGAACTTTGGCTCAATGTGCAATTTGGTCCTTGAACTTTTAATTTGCAATGTAGTCCATGAACTTTAACCCAATGTTCAATATGGTCTCTGAACTTTTAATTTGTTCAATATGGTTCCTCAACTTTTGATACATGTTTAATTTAGTCCTTGAACTATATGAAAATGTACAATATAGTTCATGAACTTAAATTAATTGAAGGACTACATTGAACATTTTATAAAGTTCATGGACTATATTGAACATGTACCAAAAGTCGAAGGATCACATCCACATTGAACATTGGGTTAAAGTTCAGAGACTATATTGAACAAATTAAAAGTTCAGGGATCAAATTGCACATTAAGTCAAAGTTCATGGACTGTTTATGTCATTTTCCTTAGGGCTGGTTAGTCGTTGCATAGCAATCATCAATTTCCAAAGAGAAAAGCACCGAGGCCGATAGAGAAATTAAAAATCAACAATTTGGATCACTTCTCGAGAAACAAAAAATATTTACTTCAATAGTAATTAAGATATTTACGTATTTTCGGCTAAGCTCATAGGAGCGTTCCATGGTTATAACGGATGATGCACAATTCATGGTGATGTTTGTGACAGAGACATTTTTAGGTACATCGGATGCTTGTGAGTTCAGTATATTCTAATTTTTAAATCATGAGTTCCTAACGAGACTCATGCTAACGCATGCAATGATGTTCTTTCTTTACTTACCAAAGCTGAATTTTGGCACAGAATTGATGCTGATGAACATGGTGATGCAGCCTTTTTTTTTTCCTTCGAAAGAGACTTGCCACTTTGCTTTGTTTCTAGGAAGCCAGGAATTCCAGGGTTTTCATGACCTTGCTTGGCTTTTCGGTCGGACTAAACAATGGCTGGCTTGCCATCCTTGGCTTGTGCTTATCACACTTACTTACTAATATCACAGAAAAGGCAGGCATGTCTTGTTGCCTGGTCCAGCCCAACCTGGCCTACCATCTTCTCCTAATCCTAATCCTAATTTAGGATTTGGTGCCTCATTTGGGAATTATCTCGACACCTGAACCAAATTTGCCCACATCATCTCCGAAACAACCTTATGCATATTCCAATTCCGGAGAGTGTATATTAGTGATTGTATAGAACTTAACCAGAAGAAAAATGAATTAACTATAGTAATTTTCAAATTCGTCGAGGTGATCGTATTCCGTCTCATATTAAGAAAAACATATTTATTTGAACTTTGTAATAGGGAAAAATCCAATAATTTCCCCAAAATACGAACATCAAGCTGGGCTTGGAACCCGCATATCGGACACCCTCGCGATATGATCGGTCTTATAGGATTTGGGTCGAGGATCCCTGTGCTAAACACGCGCCGCCATTTGGGGAGAATTTCAGTGCACGGGGAAAACGTCTCGGGTCGATTCAGTAACGATTTTACCATTTCGAGTTCTCGGTCAGAAAAAAGAGAAAGATTAAGAAAGACCTAGCGTGCGTGAAAGCTTAGGGTTCTGTTTACGGAAAAGAAATAAAAACGCTTCGAGTTTATTTATTTATTTTCCACCAAAAGGAACTCCGCAAAGCCACGCTACGTCACATCGCAACAGCTCACGAGTCACTATTATAATGCCTCCGAAGCCGATATTTCATATGGCCGCCGTAAACCGAACATTTCAGCTGGTCCACCATTTTATTTTTATTTTTGTGGATTTGAGACTTGTCCCGACTCCACCCCACGTGGCACTGTGTTCCTTTTTCGTCTACTTTGAAGTTCTAGGGGAACAGAGCACGTTTGGCCCCTCCCCCACGCACACACTGCACCGGACACAGCTCGCTCTCTTTCCTCGTCTGTCTGCATGGGGACCTATATAAAGAGCCGCAAAATGCTTCCTTGTCTCAGGCATCTGAGCCTCAACACCAGCAACGAGCAATCATATGCACACACACCCAAAAAACAAGTCAACCCAGATCCTCAAGATCGAATCTTGACTTGAGGAAGGAAGGAAGAAGAAATGGTGATGCGCAGCGCAGCGGCGGCGGGTCTCGCGGTGCGCGGGGGCTCGGGAGCGAGGGGCGACCCGAAGTTCAAGGGGGTGAGGCAGAGGAGGTGGGGCAAGTGGGTCTCCGAGATCCGCTTCCCCAACAGCCCCCAGAGGCTCTGGCTCGGCTCCTACGACTCACCCGTGAAGGCTGCCCGCGCCTTCGACGCTGCGCTCTTCTGCATCCGCGGCCCCACCGCGAATTTCAACTTCCCGGACAGCCCACCAGAGATCCCCGGCGGCGGGTCCCTCACGGCCCCGGAGATCAAGGCGGCCGCGGTGTGGTACGCCGAGTCAGGGCCCATGCCGGCCTGGCTCGAGCTGTCCGGATCCGCATAGCCGGCCCTGCCGCTACGTATCGTTCTCAAATCATTCGGTGGGTCCGGAGACGGGTTCCGACGAGCACGATCTCGAGGCGTTCCCGGGCATCGAGGAGTGTCCCAGCGATTTCAACGGGATGCAATTCCCAAGCTTGGGGAGTATGGATCTGAATCTTGATGTGTCCTTGGCTCTAGATTTCTTCTTCCTATGGGGTTTCTGTTCTGAAGTGGACCGAAGGAAGAAGCCTCGATAGATGAAGACAGCGGATTATTTTATTTTGCCATAAGATTTTCCTTTTCTTTTCTTTTCCTTTTGTTCTTGGGATGGACCAGATTTGGTACTGTCATCATCCACTTTAGGATGATACAGACTACAAAAGCTGACTTTTGGGGTGTAAAATAGACGTAGCTTTTGTTGTTTCGGTTCATTCCTTCAACGGATTTCAATTGAATGCGGAAAGTTGATATTGATTCTGTTGGTAAAGTCTGTGGACTGCGAAGTTATTCCAATTATTTCAGCTGCGTAAACCATCTTGACACTTGAACAACAGACAGCATATCAAAATTACGCGGATAAGCATCGAATCGAAAGTAATATTCAGACTCGTAACGAGCAAGTTGGATTGTCCGAGGAAAGTTTCTTGCTATCTCCTTACAATCATCAACAAACGAGAAAAGTCCAGTCGTGTGTTAATCAAGACTGGGCAGGGAACCACGATATGCCGATTGCTACTCGCAAGGGATGGCGACCATGACTCGCGTATGCATGCTTTTCTCATTTTGGCTGGTTTTCTCATGGGATTTACATGCAAGTCTACGAGCCAAGCGTAAGAGATAGTCTATAATGAATTGTATGTGGCTTGCATGAGGCAGGCTTGATAGGAATCGCTCGACTATAAACGGTCATCTTGCTCGTTGATCTTATTCTCCGGGAAATTTCAAAACCTCGAGTCGAACGCTTGTAGCAATTATTGTGTAGATCAACCCTAAAACAACAATGGATGTATGAGATCCAACATCCTAGAATCAACTCAATGTATTTGCCTCATACGAAGGATCGTAATGTCAGTTGACATATGAAACTGTCTCCCAAATACTTTGTACTTAACATCGGCAGACGAGCAGATTGATGAACAGAAAATATTCCAAAACTCAAAAGCTCACGCTAAAGTTACTCCCGATTCAACACAACATGACTCTTGTTGATCTTAATAACGCTTTGTGTTGATAAATGATGAATCTACTACATAATTATTCGTGCTCGCTGTTCCTATTGCGAATGACCTGAAACTTGACTCGGAGAGGACCGCCGCCCATTTCACAAACATAATCAGTGTTTTTCTACCATTTCCTATGAATGGACTCGGGACAAGTACATGACAAAGAAAACATGAACATATGACCAAATAGACAGAACCGACCACAAGGTGTATCGCAAATAAAAATGACCACAATCCTTGCATTGGATTGTCGCAGTTTGTCAAGCATTTGTTAGATGTGTAGTGACCATGGTAATCGCACACGTTGGTGCATGCTTTGGCATGACAGGACGGAAGGCTTGAAGGACCTCAATGCTCTAACCGGTGACCGACGCCTTTGCCCATGCTCTCAATTCCATCAGCACTGAGTCATTTCCTAGAGGAGGCCCAAAATAGGTTTAAATTGATAGCAACCTCATGTGTTGATGATAGTCATCCCGGGTAATTTACATGCAGAAATATGGTTTGTCTACAAGAATTAAGACTTTTTTGGTAAGAAGAGAGGTGATTGCGGTGCGTTGCACTAAAGATGAGTACGTTATAACATCATGATTGTCATCGATCCAGAGACCTGAACTCCCTCCAAGTTTGATATTCTCCTAATATAAGAACGGGATTATGCAGCTTCTTGTCTTGGCCATTGAATCCAATCTTCATGAGGGGACCGACAAGTTCTTTCCAACTGAATGCAAATCAGGGAACGATTCTGAAGTGACAAAAGCTCCACTGCTAATACTGATTTTGCTCAGTTTCAGCTGTTCTTACCTTATAAAACAACGGTTTTGCCGACAAATCCCTCGCAGCATATTAATGAGAGATCTGAACTGAGCCGCCCGCAAAGGAAGAGACGAAACATCAATGCGCCAAGACTCCGCCATTTACAAGGAAAGTAGTTATTCATCTATCATGACATCGTTGGACGACTGAACTGCCAAAATTTGCTGTGAGAAAGTGTGGCTCTTGAACAAACTCTAGAGGAATTCGTTAGCAAGAAAACTTTCCCTTTACCAGCTTCAGTTGTGTTAATGACATTCCAATGCGATTGCCGGGTTATAAACTACTTGACTAAATCATTCATTTTCATCTGGTTACAGAAGCTGAGATGACGAATGTGGCAATATGTTTGAAGGGCAACATAAAAGTACTTCTCCGCTTATGCCGGGTTATAAAGTCCGGTATTACAACCTTAAACAATGCTAACAGAAGAAGCCGGTACTTAGTACTAGCTGTCTTAATGCGAGTCGGTTTTTGCGTCCATATCTCGCCTGAAGTATTGGTATGGTGACGCAGCTATTTTTATTTTTTTCCTTTGAAGAAGACTTGCCACTCGCTTTGTTTCCAGGAAGCCAGCAATTCCAGGTTTTCATGACCTTCCTTGGTATATTTCGGTTGGACTAAAAAATGGCCGGCTTACCATCTTTGGCTTGTGCTTATCACGCTACTTCACTAATCAGATGACAACTGCTGATCCCACAGAAAAGGCATGTCTTGTTGCCTGGTCCAGCCCAAGCTGAAGCTGGCGTACCATCTTCTCCTAATCCTAATCCTAATCTTAATCCTAATCTTAATCTCAGATTAGGACAAAGATTTCGAGATTTGGTACCTCATTTGGCAATTATTTCGACACTTGAACCAAATTTGCCTACATCATCACCCAAAGAACCTTATGGATATTCCACTTTTGGAGAATGTATATTAGGAGAATGTATATAAGTGACTATATAGAACTGAACAAAAAGAAAAAAAGGATTATTTATTTTAATTTTCGGATTTGTCAAGACCATCGATTCATCTTATATTAAGAGAAAACACATTTATTCAACCATTAAGTTGTGCATGGAACCCGCGTATTAGAAACCGCTGCAATATGATCGAGCTTACAGGAATTGGGTCAAGGATCCCCTTGCCAAACACGCGCCAATTTTTGGGAGATTGTCTCGAGTTGGCTTGAGTAATGTTCCTACTATTTGGAGTTCCCGGTCAGAAAAGAAAGAAAGACTCGAGAGGCGTAGCGCACGTGGAAGCTTAGGGTTCTGTTTACGGAAAAAAAAAACGCGTTGAGTTTATTTATTTGTTTCCATCGAAAGAAACTCCGCAAAGCCATGCGACATCACGTCGTAATAACTCACAAGTTACTATTGTAATGCCTCCCAAGCCGATACTTTATATGGCCGCTTTAAACTGAAAAATTTAGTGGCGAACCCGACATGTCCCAACTCCGATCTCGAGTCGATAAAAACACATAAAGATTCATGATAAACATTAGGCTCTTGCAGATTATATCATGTTATGATTCGGGTTTCGTCTCTTTATTCGGTTTCCGGCGGTCTTCGCACGTGAAACCCGGATCGCCTTATTCGACAAGTCTAACGTTAAAGCCGCTCGATAGTCTCAGTATGCAGTGAACAGAGTACGTGAAATCTTTTGATGCAAATCTCCAATTTGTAAATTCAAGCTCTTTTACCTATGCTAAGCTCAGAGTACTTGTTGAGATACACGTGTTAGTTGTGTTAGAGAAATCCCACATCGGATAATTGATGTGGTGTTGAGCAGTTAATATATCTTAATTGGCCAATAACTCATTGGCTTAAGCTTTTGAGTGAAGGTGGATCCAACTGGATATGTTGACGAGCTCGTACTTGAACTCCCTCTTGACGATCTTCCCATGTGAAGGTATCGGGCTTCTGCTGCGTATTCCCAACAAAAGGTATCAGAGCCAATGGCTGATTGGTGGGCCTCTAATCTATTGCAATGACTTGGAGATTGAGATAAGCTGATGGAGAAAAATACCTAAATTAAGGAGGAGCAAACCTAACATCGAGCTCACACGTGAGGAAAGATTGTTGAGAAACACGTGTGAGTTGTGTTAGAGAAGTCCCACATTGGATGATTGATGTGGTGTTGAGTAGTTAATATATCCTAGTTGAGCCATAACTCATTGGCTTAAGCTTTTGAGTGAAGGTAGGTCCAACTGGATATGTTGACAGGCTCGAACTTGAGTTTCCTTTTAGCGATCTCTCAATGTGAAGGTATCGGGCTTCTGCTACGCATTCCCAATAGTACTGTACCCCGGCTTTCTACAAGTTAATATGGCCAGTTGAAACCTTATTCTTGGACCGGCGACTGGATAATGCCCTCACCCTTTCGGATCCACACAAACTCGCTATTGCCCATGTTCATAACCTGCAAACGGTATTACGACGAGAAAACATGGCAGAAGTTCACGTCCAGGTGCACGTAGTCTGCATCTTCACAAATTTTAGTAACGCTAATTAGTCCGACTTGGAGGTCTGTAAAGAAAAGGAATGTACATTATCGGCCAGCATCAACAGGCACCCCATGGCCAATCCCCTAACGGAGACCGCGGCGAGGACCGACTTGAGGTCCACGTGGCCGGCCTCCTGCTTCTAGACTTCGTCGGCGCAGCTCATCATGAGCCCCCCAGGCATACTCCTTGGGGTCGACGCTGAACCGAACCCAACTCCCGACCCTGTCTGACATGCCGATCATGCCCTTCTTATAGCATGTGAATGGTGCATCATCACCCTAGGGGTACATGGCCTGCTTCTTCGGCACGTAACATGACCCGGTGATCATCCTTAATTTTCCTTTCTAGGAAGCCCCGTGGGCACCACAAAGGAATGGTCGAGTTTCGAGTATATGTGATCTAAAAGGTTTTTCCATTTTCGACAATTTAGATAGATGCCGATTAAATATATGCTATGTGGTTGCAACCGTAACGGTTAAGTTTCGAGTATAC